TATACACACATACATATATAGGTAAACGAGCGAGCAAGAGGAGACTGACTCAGTGCTAGAATTCATTAATTTTGGGGACGATTCTCACTGGTCCAGTTTGAAGTCATATGCACATCTCTAACTCAAGGTCAAGGTGATGGACTTTTCTGCCCAACAAAGTCACCAGTTTATTCCTTTGGGAGTGAAGTGAGAGGAAGGATGATGTGAGAAGCATTAAGGCCACAGAGGGGTTATGAAATATGCCTCCTGAAAGGGAAAATTGCCATTATTATACATAAAGGAAGGAAGAGAGATGCTGGGTCAGGAAAAAAGATTGTGGGGAGGCAGGAATGGTAATAAAGGCAGGGTGTCTGCTGTAGTGTTTTAGGTAGTAAAAGAGACTGGTTGTGCTTTTTGGAATGCGAAGCGAGATGTGACTTGTTTTGAGTGGTGTCTTGGGATGACACCAGCACCCCCATAATCATCACCAAAGAGACAAAAGCCCCTTTGAGAGGTAGTACATGCATTTCCAAGTAATTTTGAGGTCTTTAGCCAGTGGATACCTTGGAAGGGGAAGCAAGCTGAAATTGTTGAAAGGATGATGAAAGATTAAGAAAAAAGTGGAACTTACTAAACCTGTCGCTGGCTTTGAAACCTGGTCCATCATGCTGTCTTCTCAGTCACACTCAGTTTTACTCCTCGTGCTGTATTTAAAAAATGGGGGTGGGTTGGGTGGGTGGAATGGGATTTCCTTGGCAACCTGTTAAGGTTGGATGGACATTGCCCCTTCTGTCACGTAACCCAACATTCTGAGTCACTTGTTTCACTCTGCTTTTTTGCAGTTACATTGCAAATCAGAAAAGGTTAGAAATCATCAATGAAGATGATGTTGAAGCTTACGTGGGACTGAAAAATCTGTAAGTGCTCCAAACTTCCATACATAATCTCAGAACTTTTTCTTCTGCTCTGTTTTTATAAGGGGACATTTGTCACTTAATTCTAACATAATTGCACTTAATATGTTCTCATAGGACAATTGTGGATTCTGGATTAAAATTTGTGGCTCATAAAGCATTTCTAAAAAATGGGAACTTACAGCACATGTAAGTAAAGTTTTATTTATTTATTTATTTATTTATTTATTCTTCTTCTCAGGGCCCAATCTATTCAATATTCTCATCTTACTTGTTTCCTTTATTTTCCATCTCTAGACTCCCTTAAAAAAATAAGTTAACATAACTGTGGCAATAACTTAGAAATATTTAGCTTTGATTTTATTTGATTTCTGAATAGCTTCAGAGGAGTACTTAGAACAGCCTGTTTATTTCCTTTCATGAATTTCTGGGCCACTTCCATCCTGGACAGAGCAGTAGGCCAACAGCAAGGAGTCTGATGTGAAAACTATGACCTGGTATCGCATCCTTGCTTCTTTTCCTTGGACTCATGACATGTTCCCTGGAAAACATCAAACTAGTGCAATTGAAGGAAACTTCGCCTTTTTTAGGAAATAAACATTGCTAATGCTCCCCCCCCCCCATAGAACCTCTTTGAACCCTCAGCTTCTCAAAACTATCTGTTGTGATTGATAAAAGTGGCAAAAAAGTCAATCATGGGACATTTTAAGTGTTCAAATTGTTAATAATAGCCAAACCTTGCCAGTGATTACCTTACAGTGATTTCTTGAGTGCATGGAAATGAAAATAATGGAAAACAGGAGCTTTTGGGTTGCTTGCTGCTAAGTCTTGTTAGCATTTAGTCAATAAGGTTAGATTGTCCTGACAGGTTTGTGCATTCAGCAGAGAATCACCACCCTGAAGCTCAGATTGGTGTTCCTCCTGCTTGTGTTTTCTGTGAGAACTACTTCTGGCGGAGTGTTGTTTGAGTTCATTGGCCTATTTGTATTTTGAAAATTCTCTTTGAAACAATACCCTATTGTCTCCAGAGTCTACAGTTTACCAATCGTAGTCTCATCTGCATTATATCACTTGATTTTTCTGACAATTAGTCAGGAAGATATTTTGATTCCCATCTTGTAGACATAAAATCCAACTGAGAAAGTTCTACTAGTTGCTCTGGACCACAGATTGCAAGTGGCAGGTCTGTGATTGTAGGGCTGACTCCAGACCAAGTTCCTACAATAAGAGGATGGGGCATAAAGTGTGTGCTACCAATATGCCTGGAGAAAAAGCCCTTCTTGTAACATTGGTCCTTTTTGTTTTCTTGGGGAGAATAGTTTTCAAGCCAGTTATAAAAGAACCATCTCTTAGTCTAGGCTGCCTGATTACTCATGAAGATTTGTTGATATTTGGGAACATCTTCATTTCATAAAGCCAGTGCCATGATTTCATATATATTTTAAAAAATATTTATTTATGCATACAAATTGGGGTACAGGGGCAGTGAGAGGCTTCACCAGAGACAGAGTGGGGAGCAGAACAGGCAGACTGATGAAGTACACTGCTGAGGGGAGAAGCAGGTAGGCCAGGAGAGGTCTGCCACGCCATGTGGATCACCTCTGGGGCAGGCAGAGATTGAACTCATGCTGAAGTGGCTTTAGCTTCTTAGTGCTGTGCTTTAACCCACTGTGCCACCAAGGAGGGCCCTGAATTCATATTTTATAGAGAGCATTAATGGAGAAGTTAACTTTAAAAAAAAAAGTATAGAATTATAATAGAAAACATTCAGGAAACTGTAATGACTCTTCAGGGAATGTTATTAGCACCTTTTCCGTTAAATGCTTTCTAGTACCATCTATGTAGTTGATTTGTCTGAACAGTTCTGATATCTGCATAACCTTGATATTGTAAAGAGAGAAACTGGATACAAGAAAAATGCAAAATGCTCTAATGAAATCAGTTAAGTGTAATTAATTAATGACTTCACTGGTTAAGTTCTGGTGTTTTATAAAACTTGACTTTAGGGCAGAATTACTCATAAAGACATTTTACTTTCCCTAATGTTATAATTTGTATAGTGGGCTTCTGGCTCATTGTAGTTTTAGTAATAGACTTATTACTTTTCTATACTGTTTATATTTCCCTTCTGTCCTTGTTGCATGCTTTTCATATGAAATCAGTGTATTTTTTTCAGGGTTATTTCTGATAGAGTAATTTTAATGACATTGTTATTCATTCCTTGTCCTGTATACAACTTAGATAAAGCCAACTATCTGTCCTTGTCCCCCAAAGAGGTGTCACTTGAAAATAGAAAACCAAAAACACAGGCTTACTCTGTATAGTTAGTTTTCTTCTTCTTTTTTTTAAAGATTTATTTATTTATTCATATGGAACTGGGGTACAGGCTAGAGATGTGAAGGGTAAGAGGATTCACCAGAGACAGAGTGGGGAGCAGAACAGGCAGATCGACAAAATATACTGCTGAGGGGAGCAGCAGGCAGGTCAAGAGAGGTCTGCCTCGCCGTGTGGATCTCCTCCGGGGCAGGCGGGGATCGAACTCATGTGGAAGTGGCTTTGGCTTCTCAGTGCAGTGCCTTAACCCGCTGCGTCACCAGGGAGGGCCCTAGCTAGTTTTCTTTTTAAAGAACAGTTGAGATGCCCAATTATTGATCAAACTACAAAATCTCTACTGGCATTGGTAAGCATGGTCTATACTAAGACAGAACAGAATTAGAATAGACAGTTATAAAGTTGTTAAATATCATTAGTCTTCATATATTACATAACAAAAGAGGTTCCCAACTGCCAACATTTGAAATTAAATTAAGCTTTTGTCTTTTGGGGATGGCAGGGAGAGGGGGGAAGTAAGTCAGGTGTCTGCCTTTCCAGGTCTTCATTCACCTGCTGCTTATGACTGAACAGGCACTGGCCCTTCTGCCTGATTTCCCTAACAAAAATTGCACTTTTGTGTAAATATCCACACAGTGAGTACAAGGGAGCTGGGAAAGAAATCTGTAGTAGAGAATGTTTCTCTCTACTGTGGTATACTCTGAGTATCCTTTTGAGTTGCCCCAATGTCTATTTCACTTTTGGTATTGGGGACCATCAAATTAGATCCTGCTTGTCACATTTAGTGTCACATGGTAGCTGTCCAGCATCCTGGTCACTGAATTTATTTCTTGGTGCCTTTAATTCCTGCCTGGTCCCTGAGAACCCAGGACTGTGAGAAAAGCTAGTATTTATGTTTTCCAGGGGCTTTGCAGAGGTGCTAATTAGCTCCTTTTCAAAGTCCTATAATCAAACAGTAAGAGGATTGTTGATTTTTCCTTCTCTCCTCCTCCTCCTTTTTGGCTTTTGGCCCCAATAATAAGTATGGTTCATAAAACTCATCTTGTTCTTTGGCGAGGATGCAGGCTCTGGGCTGTGTTGCTGGCAGCCCCTCAGGCAGCTGCTCCAAGCTGACTTGGCTGGTCGGTCAGCCTGCCTGAGAGCCTCGACAATGAGCGTCTTCTTTCTCTGAGCGTCTTCTTTCTCTGCCTCCACGCTTCTCCTTCTTCTTGGGGAGGAAAAGCAGGTTGTTTTGTTTTACCCTTCAGAAGGATGGGGATTTCCGATGGACAGGAAAGCATTTGTGCCTTGCAGATCTGGGAGAAGACAGGCAGATGGCCTTTTCATTGTATTCTATTAAAAAAAAAAATTGATTCACGTGGGCACATTTTACAACTACCCAGAGGATTGTTTTTCCATGTAGGTGAGCACTTCACAATGAGAAGATGCAGGTGTAGAAGAAGAGGGATGCTTTTGCTAGTAGGAGTTGAGATGAGTGGGGATGAGTGTAGAATTCGTTGGGGAATGGACGCATGTCTTCTTGGATTAGGAGATACTCAAGTGGTGTTTCTTTCTCTTTCAACTGACTTGCTTTAACTCAGGCTCCTGGGTTGAGTCCTTTCTGGTCATGGGTCAGGAATACCAGGCTGTTTCAACCCACAGTTTCCTTGGCGGAGGAGCAGGGGCAAGATTACTGTCATCCTTACGTCGCCTCTTCTTTTGGACTCTGCCCAGCATTTGCTTTCTGAGCAGGAAGTGGATGCTGAAAAGCTCATTGCACTTTGTTGAGGACTTGGTAACTTTTATGAGAGTTGATTTTTTTACTTTCGTGTTATGTATTAAACTCGTATTTAAAAGGCAAGCATTAGACACTTTTCAAATAAATTCAACCAATAAGCAAATTCACAAGTGAGTCACCTGCCAGGATTATAGTTCTAAAGTTCCCAATTCAAGGTCTCCTTTCTGGAAACTGAAACATATTTGGAAAACAGCAGTAAATTCAGTACTATTTTTTCAATCATAAATATATCTTTTTATTGTCAGGTTGTTCCAAATTTTAAAATATGTTACTACCATAATCTATAATAAAATATGACATATTTGTTTTTAGCTTATTTGTTGATGAGGATGTTCTCACCATGGACTTAATGTGGTTAGTTGGAAGTCATATGTAAACAATCTCTCTCGTTCATTTTCTTCCTATAAAGACTTGTGTTTTCTTCCTATAAAGACTTGTTAACTTTAGCTATCTTCAGGGTTTTATTTGACATGTGATTTGAAAATATTTATGATAGTCATTGTTTTGAAACATCTTTCTTTCAAAACTGACCTTATAGTTTTAAATTTAACTTAATCCTCCTGTGAATTGTTCCAAAAGTTAGAGATCTGTAGGTGTAGAACTTGGCTCGGTATAGGAAAAATAAGTACTTGTGTTAAAAAAAAAAAAAAAGAGATAAAAATGGACAACATGAAAAGTATGCCACACCTTTATTTGCAAAATTAGAGGAGAGGCTATAATTTAAGCCATCACTACAAATGAAAGAAAGATTATTGGTCTAAGGAAGTCATGCATGATGATCTAGTAAAATTATATTTTGAAAAAGAAAATCTCTATCTGAATACTTTATTACTGCATGGTAACATTTGGAATTCACATGGGATATTTTTTATTCTTTTCAGAAATTTTACCCGAAATAAATTGACGAGTTTGTCTAGGAAACATTTCCGTCACCTTGACTTGTCTGAACTGTAAGTAGTGACTTTATGTGCATTTAGGGGAAAATTTCAAAATTTAACAAAGGATACAAGCGGGCAGTTTTTGTATTCCAGGATTTTGTTATTATGTAGGGAGGTAGAAGCCTAAATAATAAGAGGCATGTGCTATAAACAGTCACTGCAAAATAAATTGCAGACCAAGCTTGTAGCAGTCAGCTGTGTGATGGTGTTGTGCAGTCTTGCAAGCATTCCTGACATTCCTGTGTTATACCTGTGCTATATGTGAGGATGCCTTTGCATCTTTATCCCTTCAGTCGTACCTTTTTTTTAGAAAGATTCTAGTTTCTTGTGTACTCCGAGTGCCAAGAAACACCTTAGATAGATGGGATTTAGACACTGTGAATCTCTTCTCCATTATTCCACAGCCAGTAGTGTTGAATCATATTTCGGTATTGAGGGGATACTTGCAGGCGATCACACAGACAGAAATTAAATGAGTCTGGCATGACCACATTTTCCCCAAAGAAACTCCTAGAAAAGTCTCCAGGGATCCTTGAGATTCTTAGAACCCAACCAGAAAACCACAGGAGCAAATGATGTTGCAAGCCCAGATCCTGTCCTCATGGAAATCTTAAGTATTGTGGTTAATGCCAGGCAGAGCCTATGTAACGATTTTAAATGACCTCATTTAAAGGCTCATTACCATAAATGGAATTCATCTTAAATAGGCCACTGAGTATTATAAATAAGCATTTAAAGATTTTTTTTTTTTGTGGTTTTTATTTTCCTCTTGACTACTTCCTCTTTGGCCAGTCACAAGCCACAGGAGTCAGGTGGCGTGGCTGAATGGTGGCTTTCTCTTTGCAGACCTTACTAGCCTGGGCTAAGGGGTTCAACCTGCAACCCAGTCACCCCAGCTCTCAGAAACCTTGCGTTTGTGGGGTGAGAGCATGAATGCTCACTCAGAATGTCCAAGAACTAAATTTTCTTGCATCAGTCTAACAGAACTGTGGTTGCATAATGAAGAAAGCTAAGAGTACCAGCCTACTGCTCTCATGATTGAGCTTTGCATTATACTTATCATTTCACATTAAATTAAAATGAGATTGTGCCCCCCAATTGAAATGTTAGCTTATGAAATGATAACCACCCCTGTCTAACCTGGTTGGAAATAAGTATGCTATCATACTTGAAATGTATTGTTGACATCTGTAAAGTCTTCATACAGTAAGATGTAATCTTCTTACTCTAATAATTATGATAAGTTTATTATGGCACCTTCATTTTCTCCATCTCCATCTGTCTAGTTTTACCTATAATTTGGTAAAGTTTTACAACATTTTGGATCTTTAGCCTTTGTGGTAGCTTTTGCATGTAGTAGAAACTTGGCAAATATTACATAAATAATTGGATAATAAATGTTGTCATACAATAAAGATAAGTATGATTTCCAAAGATTGCAGCCTAGTAAATATCGTAACATTATCATACTTCATTAATACAGTGTAGTTAAACTGAAAATGTAGTTGGATTGGATTTCTTTTTTGTTCCATGTAGGGTCCTCATGGGCAATCCATTCACATGCTCCTGTGAAATTATGTGGATCAAGACGCTTCAGGAGACTAAATCCAGTCCAGAAACTCAGGATCTGTACTGCCTAAATGAAAGCAGCAAGAATATCCCCCTGGCAAACCTGCAGATACCCAATTGCGGTAATTTATTTTGAAACCAATGAGTTCTAGTTGCTGTTAATTATTCTAATTGCCTTGGTGTGGTAGAGAGTCTGAGCGGATCACTACTATTCACATTTTATATAGTATGCTATTGATGTCTCCAGTGATACAGACAACATGTGTGTGCAGGCAGAGAAATCAGCTGGGAACTACTTCACTAAATATTCTTTGCAAGTAGAATATCCATTTTGAATGAATAACTTTATCCAGCTGTCTGTCCGTCCATTCATCCGTCCATCCAAAAAATATATACAGTTTGATACTTCACTGGCCCACTATGAACTTGTTTG